TATTTTTTGACAGAGAGAGACACAGTGAGAGAGGGAACACAAGCAAGGGGAGTGGGAGAGGGAGAAGCAGGCTCCCTGTGGAGCAAGGAGCCCAATGCGGGGCTTGATCCCAGGACCCTGGGATCATGACCTGAGCCAAAGGCAGATGCCTAACGACTGAGCTACCCAGCGTTCCTGGATCTTCTTTTTCTATCTTTTCAAAAATATGTAAAAAAATATGGGGCGCTTGGGTGGAGCTGGTTAAGTGGCTGCCTCTTGATTTTGGCTCAGGTCATGATCTCAGTATCCTGGGATGGAGCCCTGCATTGGACTCCGTGCTTAGCAGGGAGTCTGCTTCAGGGTTCTCTCTCCCTCTGCCCCCCCCCCCCCCGCTCTCTCTCTCTTTCTCTAAAATAAATAAAAATAAATAAATCTTTAAAAAATATGTAAAAATACATCAGATGTCTACACGAATTATGGTTTTGCCCATAATTTTTGTTTGCAAAAGCATTATCTATAGCATGGAATGGGAAGGATATAATCTATAGGATATTAGAAATAAAGCAATAAATATTCTATGGTTTTGTCATTCCATATTCCTGCAACTATCTTTAAGAGTTGATAGGTAAAATGTAAAACCTTAGCCTGATGTATATCTCTTTTATATGGTCCATAGAAATCGGGGTACCAGTGTCTTTGTCTTTAGACAATTGTATTTCATTATTACTATTACACTCCTTTTGTGTATTCCATTGTCCAGTATAATTTTATCCCCATATATTTTTCTTCTGAAATTTATATGAGACCTCTTCATACCTTGTCCAGTAAATCCTTCCCCAAACACAGACCACAGGAACACCCTAAGGTCATGGTAAGAAGAATTTAAAGCACTTGAATGACACTCTTCGTTTATTCAAGTAGTTGTATATATAGCAACACAGTCATTTACATAGATGTAATGATCTGCTCAGCGCATGCCACTTGGACAATAGTCTTAGCCCATAAGGAGCTTAAAATCTTGTTGGGAGATAAGTTGTGTGAACTCATGCTTTCAGGGCTCAATCAGTTAACAAATGGTGACCTAGACAAGTATAAATGCCAGGGGGTGGTGGGGACTGTGGAGAACTAGTCATTCTACACCTCATTTAAAGGAATTCCAATTCAGTCCTTTTAAAAGCCATCATGTTGGGCAAATGAAACATTTTTATGGGAAAAATCAACCCAGTGGTTACAACTTAATCTATGGACAACCAACTTTTCAGTGTTTCATTTATCTACTGCTGTGTACAAACCACTCTAAGATTTTTTAGAGGCTTAAAACAACAAGAATTACTCATTTCTCTCTCTCTCTCTCTCTCTCTCTCTCTCTCTCTCTCTCTCTCTCTCTCAGCTCTGGCAGTCACTGGGCTCAGCTGGGTGTCTGTTGCTTCCGGTCTTTCATGTAATTGTAGTTAGAGAGTGGCTGGGGCTGGAGTCGTGGGGGAGGCTTCTCTCATGTCCAGTGGCTGATGATGGCTGTTGGCTGGAATGTCTCCTATGGCTTTGTGTACTGGGCTTCTTTACAGCATGCTGATTGAGCAAGAAGCGTCAAAGAGCAAGTTCCTGAGAAAGAGAGGTGGAAGGGAGCATGTTTGTACACCAGGGGGAGGTTGTACTGCCTTTAATTGCCTAGCTTGGGAAGGCCCGTGGTGTCATTTCCATTGCATTTTATGTTGTAGAACCAAGTCACCAAGGCTAGCCCATAATCCAGAGAAGAGGAATTTAGACTCCACTTCTTAACGGGAGGAGTGTGAAAAAAATTGCAAACACGTATTAAAACCAGGGTTGGTAGCCTTATGTTAGAGAATAGCAAAACTAAATATACAATAAACTTGGATATAATGAGGGAGATAGACAAAATATTTAATGGCTGGTGTGGCATGGGCACTGACCAATAAGAAGAAATAATAGCACCCACAAGTGGTAGGATCTACTGGGGCAGCAACTTAATATCCATTCTGGGTATAATCAAGGCTCCAGACATACCTTAGAGACAGCAAGAGCGCTGGGAAGTCAGGATAGGTGAGATCATGTGTTTGAAATAAGATGTTTTAGGTACTCTTGCTGAAGCTTCAGAGGCCCGATCGGGCCCCATCCGATTGTTTGATTTCTTTGTTTTGTCCACCTTTGTCCATCAGGAGTTAGAAACATTTTTCCTGCAGGGACCCTTATCCTCATGTTTTGCAAGTTCATTCTTTGCTAAAAGGAGGGGGGAGTTGGGAGGGAGGGGAAGAGAAGGGATGAGCTCTAAGAATACACATCATCTTTGGTACATAGTATGCTTCAGCCCAATATCATTTAGAAGCCAAGTTGAGAGGCACCTGGATTCTCCCCTCTTGACTCAAACTTCAGGCATAGAAATGCTGGGTTCTTTAGGTAATGTGTTAATTTTCTGTTGCTGCTGTAACAAATTACCACAGCGTTAGCAATTCAAAACACGAATATATTATCTCACAGTTCTGGAGGTCAGAAGTACAGGATGGCTTAGCTGGTTCTTCAGATCCAGGTTTCATAAGGCTGGAGTCAAGGTGTCAGCTGGCTGGGCTCATAGCTGGAGGCTCTGGGAAGAATCCTGTTCCAGGCTCATTGAGGTGTTGGCAGCTCCACTACCTGGTAGTTTTAGAACTGCCATCCCTACTTCCTTGCTGGCTGTCAGTTGGGAGCCACCATTCCCTTCTCGAGGCTTCTCTCTGGTCCTTGCACCGTGGTCCCTACATCTCAGCCAGCAACAGCATGTCAGATCCTTTTGACTCTTGGAATCTGATTTCCTCCACTGCATCTCTGGGGTTCCAGCCACAGAAGGGTCTCTGCTTTTAAGGACTAGTGATGAGATTGGGCCCACCTGGATATCCAGGATAATCTCCTTGTTTTAAGCTTTAACCTTAATTTTATTTGCAGAGTCCTTTTGGGGATGTAATGTAACCTATTCACAGGATCCAGGGATTAGGACATGAACATCTTTTGGGGCACCCTAATTCTACCTACTCCAGGGAGTGACATTATGACAGTAAAGGGGCTTTTGCTTCCACTTGTTTCCTCAAGAAAGTAGACCAGTCAGCAGGTTTGTTTGCTAAACATTAGGGCTTACTGAAATACTATTCCTAAATCCGAAGGAAAAGAATACGCATTTTATGGAAAGGAGTATAGGTTTCAGTTTTGACTAGAAGAGGCACTCATTTTCTTGATTGCTAGGAATGTCTCCAGCATGATGTAATGCTTAAGAGAACTGGTTTGGAAAAAAAAAAAAAAAGAGAACTGGTTTGAAGTCAGACCAGACCTTGGGCAGGTATATAATGCTTGTTAAGTCTCACTGTCCTTGTCTGTGAGATAGGCTAGTAATTCCTATAGTTGCTGTGGGGAAGAAAACCCGAGGAATAGGGCGTGCTTAGGGCATCATGAGTGCTCAGTGAATGTTCGCTGCCACTGCTATGACTACTAATAATAGTAACAGAAGGACCTATTCGTAGACTTCTTTAGGGGGAGAAGGTATGTGCGGATTAACTAGAGTCAACACTTGGATTTCCTACTAATTTTGTATTAGTCTGACATAAATTATTAGCTTGTCATAATTCTTCTATTAGGTGTAAACTATTAAAATGATTGTTCTGAAAAGGGATTTATATGAGTTTATTTTAAACAATTTAGCTTAAGACAACTTGGTTTTCATCATAAAGGGTGGAAACTCACAGGTATCTAAATTAGGGGTCAGCACTGCAGCACTGTGGGCTAAATCTTGCCTGATGCCTATTTTTGTAGGGCCCGTGAGCGCAGAGTGATTTTGAGAAAGAAATATTTGCAGTCGATTTGAGATAAGCACTAACCTTGAATCCCAATTAAGCAAAAATGTTATTCTGCCTCAAAAGAATTCCATTCTTCTCATTAATGGGCTGTCTTAAAAAAAGTTGTACTCAGTACATTTTTAATTTCATCAGTAACATTTTGTGGAAGCTTTGCTCTTACTCCAGAAGAACCTACATAACATCTCTGGTTCTTGCCTCTTTGCCTGCAAAATGCCTAAATGTTTACCATCTGACTCTTGACAGAAAAAAATTTGCCAAGCCCTGATCTAAGTAATCTATGCATTTCAAATGGAATGTAGACTCTTTATAGCTGGAAGATACTCCCACGATCTCTTAATGCAGTACCTTAATTTTATAGCTAAAACCATAGCCCAGGAAGGTGGGCAGCTATTCCAACACAACCCAGCTACTTAGTGAGAGGGGCAGGATGAGCCATTAGATCTTTTGGTGCTTAAATCTGTGATCTCCGGGGCACCTGGGTGGCTCAGTCAGTTAAGCGTCTGCCTTCAGCTTAGGTCATGATCTTGGGGTCCTGGGATGGAGCCCCGCATCGGGCTCACCTCTCAGTCAGCGGCGAGTCTGCTTCTCCCTCTCCCTCTGATCTCTCTCGCTTTCTGTCTCTCAAAGAAATAAATAAAATCTTAAAAAAAATAAATCCGTGAACTCGCGACTGGAGCAGGCAGACCCTCTGGAGGTAGCATAGGCACACTTTAGTCTTGTCTCTTTACGTGGGCCTCTTCACTGTCATCAATCTAAAACCTCTAATGGACAGTTCAGAGGTGATGCATCATACAAACTTAGCTGTCCCATGGACCCGTTGAACAGGACCTGCCGAACATGAGCTTGTTGCTGTTTCCATCTCTAGGGAGAGCCCTTTAGATTCTAGAATTTCTCCTTAAACCTATTTCAGAAGCACCGGTGCTGACTTTTTCCATAAAGTTAGTAACAGTGAATAGCCAGGCATGTTAATATATTCTCATTGAACTCTGTTCAGTTTAGGATGAGATTGTTCATTGAACGGAGCAATAACCCTAAACTGAGGTGATAATTTGCCTACGTACCCTGCTTCCCCATTGTTCCCTGGTTATTTGCTAATAAATCCCGCCACATTGTGTTCGTTCTTGCTGCCCTCCCTCCTGGATAATGATGATTGCCTGGTGGTATTTGCTTCTCTTTCTACAGGTGGTTCACGAATCCAACGACCGTCAATGCCTTCTACAGTGCATCCACCAACCAGATCCGTGAGTACCCAGCTTCTTGTCTCCTTGTTAACCTGGTACAAAATGGAAGGAACCCTTCCCTCACTATGATTTCTTTATTGCCCTCCAAAAGTGATCAGGTATGTTGGTGAGGGCAGTTTCCGTTTCTCTCCCCATATGCCCGATTTTCCTCTCTCCCTTCACCTTATTGAGTAGACAAACAAACAAACAAATGACAATAAATACAACTACAGTGCAGTTGGCCATGAAAAGGAGCAAGCTTCCACTTTTCTTTCATCACGATCTTAATGATTTTGTCCAAACCATTTGTCTCTTTCTAGGATTGATGGGAAAAACAAGCGGGCGGCTGGGCCGATGACAGAACCTGAGGGGACTGTCTATAAACAAAAGCTTGGCAATGTTCTGATTAGCCTTAGGATGTAAAGTCTTAAGTTGCTTTTATTTACATGTGTTGAGTAGATAAAATTATAAATGCCATGATAAGTTTAAAAAATGATTAAAGATCAGATTAAATAAAAAAACGTGACAGCACCAAGTGTTGGCAGCAGGGACACACGTACCTACGCTGGTGGAAAGGTAAATTGGTTCACCCACTTTGCAGAGCAGTTGGGTGAAGCCTGGGGAAGCGGAAGGTGTCCCTGCACATCTCTGACCGTCATGTGCACTCCTGGCATGGGCCTCAGTGCTGTGTTTTCTCAGTGTGGTCTTGGGACCAATGGCAATGGCATCATGGGGAGATTTGTTAGAAATGCCAATTCTTGGGCCCCACCTTAGATCTATAGTTCACAAACCCTGGACATGGAGCTCAGAAATCTGTTTTATTAAGGCTTCTGGGTGACTCTGACATAGCTTGAGAACCACTGCCTAGAGGTCTCACCTGAGAGCCCACCTGAGGAGGCCCATGTGAGAATGCTCATACCAGTGTTTATAATAGCAGAAAAAGGGGAATAAGCTCCGTGTCCCTCTGCAGGAACATGGCTCAAGTGTGGCATGTTCACCCAAAAGAATTCCAGATAGCACTGAATAATGAATGACCTGGAGCAGCGTGTATTAACGTGGGTACAGTTTACAAATATTGGTTGTGTGGGGAAAAAGACCACTGGGGAAAATACATCGAGTATGATACCATATAAAAAGTTGAAGAGCGTGCAAAAACACTTCTCTATATTGCCTAGAGGTATATCCTCTTGAGTGAAAGTATGAAGACATTCATGAGAACGACAGACTTTTGAGTTCAGGTTGGCAGTGACCTGTTGTGGGGAGGGTGGGCCGCTCCTGCTCAGGCCTTGGCTGGTTTCTCATCCCTCCTTGTCTTCCATCTTCACTCCCTTGCGTGGTGATAACATCTAATCTCATGCTTTTAAGCATGCACTTTGTTGAATGTGGGGAATGGAACTTACAAAGACTTGCCACCCTTGGCCATAGGCCCATCTCCTCCTCACTAGATACCCTTCATAGCCTCCTCGCTGGTCTCCCCGCTTCTGTCCGTATCCCCCTTCAGTCTGTTCTAAATCTCATATTGCAGCCATTTAAACATGTTTTACAATCCTCTCAGGTCCCTCCTTTGCTCAGAACCGGTTATCAGCTTCCCTTCTCATTTAGAATAAAAACCAAATTACTTATAATGGCCCTCAGGCCTCTTACTGCTGTCTTATGTCACCTCTGTTCCAGCCACACTGGCCTCCTTCCTGTTCCTAGAACATGAGACTCTTCTGTCCTAGCATTTATATTAGAGGCTCTTTGCCTTGGAAAATTCCCCAAGTGATCTGCATAGTTCATGCTCCCATTTCCTTCAAATCTTTGCTTGAATGCCACCTTCTCAGTGAGGTGCCTTGCCTGCCCTCTGTTGATCCTCCCTGCTGGCCCTCATCCTAGCAGGACTCCCTGGCCGGAGAGGACACAGCTCTGGAGCTATGGCTGCCAACTCCCAGCAGGCACAGCACATTAAAGTCGCCCTCGTGTGGCCACTTTTGGGAATGGCAGTCTCTGAAGGACTGGTCTGAGAGCATAATGAATAGAAGGAAAACAAGCGGATGGTGGTAATTTTTGATTTCTACATTACTTTGTACAACCAAATCAGTTGTTAAATATGTTGAATATGTTGAATGTCACTCCTTACTATAGAAATACTCATTATTATCATGAAAATACCATTGCTTTCTTTTTTTCCTCCCAGTGTTATTGAGATAATTGACAGTGTATGTATGTAACATGTGCATCATGATGTTTTCATATAGCTCCAACTTGAGAACTAAGATGCATATGTTACATAGGAACTTAAGATAGTTGAGATTTTATTTTATTTTATTTTATTTTATTTATTTATTTTTTTTGGAGAGAGAGAGAATGAGTGGGGGAGGGAGGGGTAGAGAGAGAGGGAGAGAGAGAATCTTAAGCAGGCTCCATGTCCAGCGTGGAGCCCGACGCGGGGCTCGATCTCACAACCCTGAGATCATGACCTGAGCTGAAATCAAGAGTCGGACACTTAACTGACTGAGCCGCCCAGGTGCCCCAAGATATTTGAGATTTTAATTATAACTACTATTTATAATAAGAATTATATGTGAATTATAATATTAGTTGGGATAACCTATTGGGCAATAGAAAATTCTTTGGATTATCCTTTTCTCTAAAAATCCCCACTTTTTATTTTATTTTTTTAAAAGATTTTACTTATTTATTAGAGAGAGAGCACAAGCAGGGGGTGGGGGCAGAGGGAGAGGGAAAAGCAGATTCCCTGCTCAGCAGGGAGCCAAGTTCGGGGCTCGATCTGAGGACCCTGAGATCATGACCTGAGCCAAAGGCAGATGCTTAACTGACTGAACCACCCAGGTTTTTATTTTGAACTACTTTAAAACATAGTAAAAAGTTACAAAACTACAACACTGTTGCCAACCACCCCACTGTTAGCGTGTAACTGTAGTGCAATGATCAGAACCAGAAAATTAACATTGGTATAACACCATTAATTAAACTCAAGGCCTTACTGAAATGTCACTAGTTTTGCCACTCATGTTCTTTTTCTGCTTCAGAATCCTATCAAGATCCCCCATTACATTTAGTCATTATTTCTTCTTAGTCTCCTACAGAGTGTAATAGTTCTTTAGTCTTTCTTTGTCTTTCACGACTTTGACGCCTTTGAAGAGTACTGGCCAGTTAGTTTGTGGAAGGTCCCTCAATTTGTGTTTGTCTCAGGTTTCCACACGATTGGACTGAAGCTAATGCATTTGGGACATGAATGTCACAGGAGTGATGTTGTGTCCTCCTTAGTGCATCATATCATCAGGTTTATGCTATCAGTGTGTCTTCTTGCTGGTGATGTGACGTTACCCTTGATCACTTGGAGAAGGTGGATTCTGCTGGGTTGCTCCACCATAAAGTTGCTATTCCCCTGCCTTATTAGGTGGTAATTATCTTGGGAACTGTATTGCTGAGACTGCATGTATCCTGTTTTTCTCCAATCTTTCCCTCACTGATTTTAGCATCCATTAGTAAAACTTGCATGCAGCAAGTGTCCCTGTACTGTTTGCTCACTGTTAATTTCCATTTCTTTCCTTCCATTTGTATTGCTGTGAATTCTCTTGTAAGGAAGGGGTTGCCCATTCACCCATGGGTATTTTATTCTGTGGGTTCTAATCCAGTACTATCATTTTCTATGTCATTGCTCAAAGTGTTTGGCTCTGGCCATGAGGAGCTCTCATGGGTTTGCTGCTAGGATCTTGCGTCACAGTGCTCCTCAACTTACTTTTTGCTAATTGAAGCAGATGCCTGCTGAGCTCCTTGAGCTACTGCGTTCTTTCTGTGCAGGGGGGTAAGTCCCTCTCTTAGCCTGGATCCCAGTTGCCCAGCTTTTCTGTTGGGAGCTTTCAGACTTGACTCATAGAACATTTCTTCTTCCAGACGGGGTCCAGAAACCAGCAGGAGTCAGACTGGGTGCAGCATAGAAGGGTTGGACTGGGTCTAGAAACTGCCCGGATTTGGACTAGATTATCCATTTTATTTATTTATTTATTTATTATATTTTATTTATCTGACAGAGAGAGACACAGTGAGAGAGGGAACACAAGCAGGGGGAGTGGGAGAGGGAGAAGCAGGCTCCTCGCTGAACAGGGAGCCCGATGCGGGGCTCCATCCCAGAACCCTGGGATCATGACCCGAGCTGAATGCAGATGCTTAACAACTGAACCACCTAGGCGCCCCTAGATTATCAATTTTAAAAGATGTTTTATTATGTAATAGTTGGCACATGCCAAAGAACATACGTAACATGTTAAAACATATAAATTATATTCATGTGAACCTCTCACCCAACCAAGAACTAGGACATTCCCGATATCATTGCATCTGTCCATGCTTCTCCCCCTCCCATTCGTCTTGCTCACCACAGAGGTAACCACTTTTCTGATACTCATGTCTATCATTTTCTTTTTTTAAAATAAATTTTAAGCCATTTATTTTTATAGCATAATAAGGTGGTATCATACTGCATGCAGTCTAAAGCAACTTTGTTTTTTTAATCTACATGTCATTAAGATTCATCCATGTAGCATGTGACAGTGGGGTTTTCGTTTTCCCTGCTGTACAATATTCCATTGTATGACTGTACCTCAAATTACTTACCTGTACTTTATCTGTTGACAGACCTATGTGTTCTCCTACCCCAGGGTTTTGGTATTATGAACAGTGTCACAGTGTCGCTGTGAATATTCTTGTTCATGTCCCCTGAGATGAATGTTTAGGGTGTATACTAGGAGTGAAATTACTGGCCTATAGGGCGTGCAAATACTCACCTTTACCAGAGAACACCAAATGGGTGGCAAAGAGAGTGTTCTAAAGTACAGAAGTGTTTTCACCAACTCTCATTTTTATCACCTCTTGGCACTGGTAGACTTGATTTTCCCCAGTGTAGTGGCATTGAGATAGATTGTTCACAGAGTCTTCCCACGCTCACTTCCCAATGTCAGTGAATGCTTACGGCTGCTTTGGGGATTTAAATATGCCTAATAATAATCTGCCTCTGG